GTACTCGCGTGGAGGAAGAGCAGAGAGGAAGAGAAAGAGGAGAGAGCTTTGAAAGCTGTCGCAGGAACGAATCGGACGGGCGAGCTGTTGAAACGCGGGCGTAGAGGATGTACGGTAATAGATTGTACAACCGGGCGATTCTGCATGAAAAAATAAACCACGAGTGTCGGATAAAAGTTTTACGCGCGAGCCATCGTTTTCGAGAAAATCGACTTTGATAGTACGAGGGTGCGTACTCGCGTTCGCTACGCGTAATAGTGGAATTACCGTCGCTGTAGTTTCTAAGTCGACTGCGAATGTTTTTACGTCTACGCGAGATTTAAAGGTACAAAATGCCGTGTAAACGCGTATAAATTATTTCATCGGATGCATACAAATTTGCATAAACATTCGCCGTCTATTCGCAATGGTTTTTCGCGAGTTGCGTGTTTCGAAAAAAAAAGATTGTAACGTTTGCAAAACGATGCAAAGTTTGCTGCATTTTGATCTTTTTCTCCTCGCGGTGAACCGTCCAAGTCGATCGTTTATTTCGAAACACCCTGTACAAGTTAGCGAGTCGAGAAAGAGGTAGCACATTTCTCATTGAAATACCGTCATATTTCCGCGTTGCCAATGCGTTTCGCGCACACAGCTGACTAAGACGTACGAGCGAGCCGAGTTCGATCTCGCTAAGAGCGAATCACGCGCCGCGCTTTCTGTGAGTCGAATTGGAAATAATGCGAGAATCGAAAGCCATCGCTACCCTCTCTCCGACGGATCGTTTTATCGATAGATCTTAACATTCTCGCCGCTGACAAATTACGTTGCGTTTGCCTGTCTCTCCGTACGAAACCGCCTCTACATATTTCGAGTATTTCTTTTTAAGTAAGTTTTTCCTTCGGATTCGCGTCGAGTCTCTTGTAAAATTTCACGATCGTACGGACTTCGTGCCGTTTACCTCGTATCAATTTTATTTCAAATTCCCCGCACGCTCGACGTACGTAGGATCGCGTTAAGGCATCGTCCGATCGGAAGCGATCTAGGAGCGGATTAATCCGACGATGGGATTTCGAAACGCGGCCGATCTCCTTTTCCGCGTGTATATTCCGAAATGAAATTAAACCGTTCGATTCGGTGTCAATCAAAGTGGATCCACTCGGATGATATTTGACGGTTGCCGTGAAAATACGCATCGACGAGTCCTTCTAGAAATTACGTTACGCCCTTATTACCTGTCATTGTTCGATAACGATATATATTTAATTAAATCGGACCCGGCCGATTGAAAGCAGACGGGACGTGCTAGATTTTAACGAACCTGTCAACGTCGTCGTTCCCCTGATGCGGCCACTCGATATTCGTTTCTGTCCGACGGAATGCTCGATCGAAGTTATTGTCTCGCTGTGCTTTCCCAAACAGGCAAATGCGCCCCGTTACGCGCGATTATCGATCTTTGTCTGATCGACGAGGGAAACGAACAAGTTCGATTTCTTAAGAAACGAAATTTACTTTTCCGCGATATCGGCAAAAAAATCAGAACGATAGATTTAAATTCGTCGTAACCAATCGTCGCGCTAAATTATCAACAGAATCGATCAGTTTTACGCGCTACGTTCTGTTTGTCGCGTAGAGTACCGTCGATTAATCCGACGTCCGCGAGTGCACGTCGTAACCGATTCCTCGGCGGATGATAAAAAAAGAGGGAAAAGCAAAAAGGGGAAAAATGGTTGCGATCGAAAATGATCGTAGAGTCGCGTTAAAAGCAACGATTTCATCGACCACGGCAGCCACGCGTTACGGACGCGCTCAAAGCTCGCACGAACGACCGGCGAAAGCTGGCTATAGCGTGCCGCGTGGTCGTGCAAAACGTATCGTCGGAGATGGCCGGAACTGCAACAACGAAACGACGAAACAGCGATCCGCTTGTTACATCCTGGAATGTTTTCAATTAACCGGTAGACGATCGTCGATCGACTCGTAATTTACCAGCTGATGAGCATATTGCACAGAGTTATCCGAGCGTAAAGAAAAACCGAGACTTCTCGACTTAAGCACGCCTCGAATAACGAGTTCGGGCAATGATCGAATCCTTTCACCGTTGTTTTAGTTCGACCGCGAATCCACTAATTCTGAACGAACGTTTCGCTTGTGCCCGACCAAGAATCACCGGCATCGAGAGTGAAAATTCACGATTTCGGCAGAGGCGGTACAGAAAAGAAGGAGATAAAAACATAGAAGAATTTGGTTGAAAAGGAAAGTTGCCGATGAATAGGTTTAAAGCGATCGAAAGGGCTATCGGTCGCGCGTGTACGAACTTTACTCGAAACATTCGGAATCGAGCAACTTTACTTTACGTCGATTATCTCTTTATTTATGTTCCAATTTGGTTTTATTCTATTTTTTACCGTACCGCGCTCCGTTCTCTCGCTCGTTATTTTTTTCATATTTACTTTATTTCATATTTCTATCATTAGTCCTTGTTACTGCCTTAAACGAATCGCAATTATTACCCTGCCATTGTCTCGACTTTGTTTCGCCTTGCCCATTCGCGCGTCCTCCTCTCCTATTTAATTTCCCTCTCGCTTCCTCTATTTTCATTCCACGAGCAAACCAACACGGTCGGGGAGACAGATAAAGCCGTTGAGCTGATTTCGAATTCTTTGCCGCGACAACGAAATCGTATTACATTCATTAAAGGCTGTGAGCCGGCTAAGAACACAAAACACTGGCGAGGGTAGCGGGTGAAAGAGGGGGCGGGACAGAGGGATCGGTGTATAAGCGCGATACGTATCGAGGAGCGAGACGACGAGGAGAGCCGAGTCGACTCTAACGTGTCAGTGGAACAGCGAACCTTCTAACCGCGGTTCGTTACAAGAAGACACGACCCGCGGCTGCAATTGCATCCCCTTCTGCCTGACTTTTCTTCCTGACACCGCGGCGAGATCCTCGGCGTGCCTGCGGTCCGTTTCTCCTGGTCTAGATTTCGTCTACGTCTGTCTCTAGCGATGGCGTCGATATTTCGGGACTGGTATTTCCGACTTGCCCTTTGTCGTACCTTGACGGAAGCGTTGCGCGTAGGTTTCACGTAGGACGATCTGCAGTCCTTCGAACGAACTTTGACCTATCGCCAAACGAACGTAGGTGTCGAATATTCGGAACGTTATGACGTACGTAGGAGCGGCATCGTTCGTCACAGTTACAACGTTTGCCAAATCGTGCGAGATGCGAGCTCAGTTGCGATCCGATAGTACGTGCGAGCAGCCAACGGACCGACTATACGGTATTTCCTACTACGTCGGCACTAACGAGCGAACATTCCGCTTTCGTGCTTGCCTTCGTCCTTTTTATTTCGTCCCAGAGAATCTGAAACGACCTTGGGCGCTTGCTCGCGATCGTTCACTCGTCTGGCGTTCTCCAGCGCAACCCTCGTCCCTTCCCGGTATCGCGACTCTCTTACGCCGTTTGGCCGCGTCACGATCCTGCAGATCGAAGGTAACCGATCGCTATAACGATCGACAACGTCTTAGAATCGGTATCGATAAGTCGACGCGAGTGTATCGGTCCCATCGCTAGCGGCGGTCGTAGCCGTGTTAGACTAGAGCTCTTTAGGTATCCAGGGTGGGGTGAGATTGGGCGCAGAACCAGCGTGGGTAATGGTGACTACGTTGGCTGGTAGGTTCCGCGGGGTTAGCAGGGCCGAGAGGAAGGCGGCGGTGGGGTGGGCTCGGGTGGCATGGCGCGGGGGTGCACCGCAAGCTCGAAAGTTGGGAAAAAGCCAAGGAAGGGGTTGTGCTTCGAACGGAGGTCCGTCCGAGGGCGCAAGCTCGAGGTCGTCCCCGTATCCTCCCACTCTGGCACGCGATAGGTGGAGCCTCCCTGGCCGCCAATACATGTCCTGGACCCGTGTACGCTACGTGCGTAACCCCAGTCAGTCCTTCCACGTCCGAAAACGCGCGCTCT